GTACAACAATGAGTTTGAGATGTTGTCTTGGCCTTCAAATTCCTCTGACTCAGTGATAACCTGTGATCTGCTAAACCAGAGGTCAGCAACCTTTACAACAGCTGGTGGCTCAGTTTGTGCAAAGTGCTTTGGAGTCCTCTGGACTAGATAAAGCACAGGCCATTTACATATAAACACCAGAGAGGTCCATTTTTTGCCTTCAGTTCTGCTAAACAAATGTACTCTTCAGAACAAAATCACCTCTTATTAATCGGAAATAGGAGATTTTAGATTTATTTTTTTTAATTAAGACCAACAGATGTACTGCACTTTATTTTTGGTTTCCAGATGTATAATTTTTCTTAAGCGAGACATTCAATTTTTATACAGAATAACATCAAAAATGTTATGCTGTCAAGGGGTGGTTTGGTGGTGGTGAAACGAGGACGCAGGCAGACCCAGGATGTAGATGAAAATGATTAATTTAATGATAGAATCCAAGGTACAGAACAACGGGGAACAGGACAAGGAACATACGAAGCACAACAAACACACGACGGGGATCCGACAACAGACGTGAACTTAAATACACACGGGGTAATTAAGGGAACAAGACACACCTGGGAACAATCAACAGGGAAGACAGAGACAGAGACTCACAGGACAGAAACTGAATACAGAAAACCCTAAAAATAAATACACAGAAAGACGGAACATGACATATGCATATAATCTATGATAATTCTTCAGGGAAAAACAAACAAACTGCTAAAGCAAAAGCATTCTTAATTTGCCTTTTCATTTAAATTTCATTTTAATTTGTGTCTGCTGTTACCTGTGATATGACGTGTTGTCAGCCTGTCCTGCTTATTGCTCATGTGTGACTTTGCTGCGTGTTTATTTGCATGTGATGCGGTTAAATGCCCTGCACTCCGTCTCAACCTGTCACCTGTCACTGCAAAATGTGGACCGTCACAAACATAAGCAGATTGTCTTAATTTAAAGGTCATAAAATAATTATAAAATAAAAATATAATTAGAAAAAACTGTTGGACAGCTATTAGCTATAACCTATTAAGCTTAAAGTGAAATGCCTTGTGTAAAAATGACTGTTTCATGAACAAAATTTTGCAGCAACATTCACTCTGTCTAGTAGTTTAATCCTCATGGGACTCCTGAATGATATATCAAAATAAAGAGCTCAAAAATCAGGTACAGTATGCTCATGTCATTCTACTGCCAGCCATTGTTTTTATGGAATTTAAGTGGATTTATCTTAAATAAAGCTGAATAAAAGTGAAGCCAACTCTACAGACTTGAATATGGCTCTTTGTTTGGACTAACACTCCAGCCCCTCATGAAGAAATATCTTTTAAATCGTGGTGATGAGATTATATCTGCTTTGTTCCACCTGAGTTAGTGTTTCCAGCGGCAGAAACTGAAAAGAAAAAAACAAAAAAACAAAACAAAACAAAACTGGTGTCAAGCAAATACCAGAACTGGTTCAGCAGGAAAAACACACCCAGAGCACAGAGGGAGAGGTGTTAATGGGTTTGGTTTAGATTTTAATACACTGTTATAAACAAAGCCTGTTTCACATGCGTGTGCAAATCAGACCAGTAACTCACTCTGTTTTACGACAGGGAAATTTACCGTTTCCTTTATTTGATTTTTTTTTCTTCTTTTTAAACAGATATTGTATCAAACTAAACGAGCATCATGGGACGAGGTGAGAGTGAGGGGTGGGAGGAAGAGCCAAAGACAACTCAGCCCAAGAGTCAAGGGGACAACAAGGAAAACAAGTCGGAGGGTGGAGGCTGTCCAAAGTGCTGCTTGAAGACCAGGGACTGTCTGATGAGCCCAGAATGTGGCAGAGCACTGCAGATCTCCAGTGTTGTCGCCTTCTGCGGAATGTGCATCCGTGCATGGACGTGTAAGTCTGAACCTGAGAAATCCGAACAGCAATGGGCTGTTGCGATGAATTCAACATGACTAACGATAGAACAGGAATTTTGGTTATTTTGTGCTCTGATAATTCTCAAAATGGAAATTAATTTCTTTCTCTGGAGGTTTTAAAACGCGTAACCATGACATTTAATCACTGTGACTGTCTTTCAATTAATCTTTTCATCATTTTTTTTTTNATCATTACTCTTTTTCCCTGCTCTTAATGGCTTTTCTTTTACTCTCTTTCCAACTCACTGTCATGAGAGCGGTCAAGCAGCAGGCACTCTAACAGTGGAGCTCTTGTAGAAGGTGGACATTATATGACAAGGTGTATGACATGATTTACTTAAATTATGTACTCATAAGATATACAAATGCATTGTCAATTTTGACCTCAGCAACAGCTCTTTCCGTGATTACAAAACTGAAACTGAAGATGTTTTTTTTTTTATGTAAATGTGTCAAATCTTAAGTTCTTAAGCTCTCTAAATAACTAAAGAAGCTGTTTCATGAGTGCAAAAATATCTATATTGCAATGTCATTGTAATGACACAACTCTAAAGGTTTAATACAGTACACACAATGACTTTGTTTAAACACTTTTCTTGCTATAAAGATGCTGGATGCACAAAATTAAAATTAAAATACACAAATGGGATTTTATTTTTGTTTAGAAACACGTATATTTGCTAAAACTGTCGCTGTGTCCTCACAATAAGTATGAGAGAGATAATCTATGAAAAAAAAAACAAAAAAAACTTGTTCTTGTAGTCTTTCTGTTATCTGCAGGAATATGTCACTCCTGGGAAGAAACAACCAATCAGACCCAGGAGGAATAGCACTGTCAATCATGCTCATGTACGTGCCGCTCACACATTCCCCCTGATCCTCAGCTGTGCTACACTTCCTCCCCCACAGGAGAGCCTGCCATGCAGAAAGCATATGAGCTATTGATACTGGCCACTGATGGTGGCGAATAAACAGTTTTTGAGCTGATGTACGGCAAACCCTAAATAGAAATAATACATTATTGGCATTGTGGAATCAGTCCATGACACAAATAAAATGTGAGGTTCAAACCAAAGCGCTTGTTCCTTTAACAACTTGCCTCTTTTTTTTTTTTTTTAAGACTGCATATACGTCATAGATGTGTGTCACTTTAGGAATGACATAGGAACAGTCCTGAATGCCTCAACAATGAGTCATTACAAAGTTATGTCACAACTACAGTTGTTTTTAGCTGAAGCTAAAACACAAGTCATGTAGCTAAAATACTGATTAAACCATATTTGGACCAACTAAAGAATATGGCTAAAGTGATCATGAATGTTGACCATCAGAAAATATGCAGGTGATAAGGTCAATAAGCTCTAGTTTTAGCCTAGTTTTAGACATGTTTGTGTCAGAATCAGTGAGGGATTTCTGATCTCCAGTTTTTTTTTTTTTTATGAAGTTTTGACAAACTGATGTTGATTTTGGCTGGTCTGATAAGATTTTATTTCAGCCTGATGTACCTGCCACATCATTAAAGCATCAGTAAATGATTCATCTTCATCGTGGTCAATAGATGAATTGGCTGCAAATACTACACGTTGCTGCAGGGAATGCTTTAATCAGATTTTCTTTTCTTTTTTATGGTGAATGAAGAGTGTCAAAAATGATTATGTCAAGTGAGTCAGTCCAAATCACTGACATCCAGGTTCTAAAGTAAAACATATTTCGATTTTATGTCTTTCCAGTCCTGCTCCTTTTTTTTTAATCACAATTATAGAGGCCTGTTTCAGAAAATAAACTAAAACTAGTCCATAAATTTCTTACATGTAGAGTTGAATATTGTGATTAATAATTATCAAGCATATCAAACATTTATTTAAAAGCCTGCAGCTGATTGAAAACGCTGCAGCGCTGATTAAAATTAAACGAAAAATACAAATAAGGTTCTGAATGATTCTCTCTTTAATGAGTTACAGTCCTATTCCCCACAAAGGTCTTCCTTCTAGACTGCAGGGTTAGTTTCTGGAGTCCAGTCCAGAGCTGGCTGATTCAGATAAAAGCAAGTCTAATTTTGCACAATCATTTACACTTTTGCACTAAAACCTGTCCTACGTGATCAGATCTCAGCTGGATGTAGGGACGTTGAACAGGACAGAAACAAATGTTTAAGCTGCATTATTAATCGTACATTAATATGGACATCTGACTGCAAAATCTTGTTTTGCTTTTTTAACAGTGATTTGAGAGAAGGACAGCAGAACACGCAAACACCAGATGACAACAAAGCTTATCACCAGCTCACATGCAAAATGGAAAATAAAGCTTAACCCCTTAACTGTCACGACGACACCGGTGGACCCATTAACTTACTTGTAAGGACTTCAAGAGTGACAGTTGAGGTTTAAAGAGCTCCTGCGAACAATGCCTGCTTGGGCATTGCCATGTTGAAATCCCCACGTCGCCGACTGTTTACAGGAATGCCGTGTGACATCACACCCAGCTCCCATGCAGCTCTGACTTCCTGCTTTTAGCAGAAGGTCACCGATCAGAGGTCAGAACAAACATGCGCATTCTGTACATCATTTTTAAAACGACCCTACTCACCTCCACATTTCTTTTAATCTGAATATGCTATTTTCATTAAGGTACAGCATATATATATATGTATATATATATTTTTGTTTTTATATTGTTACCTTTGTGTAAATCTCTTCTGTTTGACTGTTACTTTGCTGCTAATACAATTTAATTTACCCACTGAAGGACAATTAAGGATTCTATTGTAATTTTTAAAAAAAGTAAATCTATGCTGTCATTTAGGTACATGGGAATGAAATGGTTTGTTTATTATAAAAGTGACAGTAATAAGGGACTAACTGTGTAGTAAACCAGCAATTAATTGAGCACTTAATCAATAATATTACACAAAACCAATAACAAATAAATAAAAAAAAAATCTGTGGATCTTGATGAGAAAACCAGTAAAAGTGCTCAAAATCCCAAACAGGTTGGTCAGGTTATATCAGCACAGTCAACTCGTACACACCTGTTAGACCAAAAGACACACCCTCTTTTGTCATGTGAGCCATGAGACGTCAAGTATCTATTGTTCATACCGGCAGCGTCTGCGAAGGGAAAAGTATCTTTTCACGGCTCACCTTTAAGGAAAACCTTGTCCACAGAAAGGCAAAATTTAAACTGACAACAGAAAAACCTCTAAAAGCTAAAGGGTAAGACCATTACTCCTTTTTTTTCCCCCTCCCACTTAATGGCTTTTCTTTCACTTCCTTTCCAGCTCACTTTCATTGCTGAGGAGGGTTATGGAATTTCATTACTTATGATTGAAATCCGGTGAAGTTTTGAAAGCAAAAAAGGTCCATTGAAAATGCCAGGATCCCCTCCGGATGCCAGCAATCTAATTTACTGTCAGCCTTAATAAATGAGGAGCCCACCGGATGGCATCGAACAAGTTGTTATTCCACCATCAGGGTTATCACTTAATATCTGATAATGTCTGTGGGGAGCAATTGCACCTGACAGTTAAAACAGAAGGCCTCAACCTCTGGCAGCAGGAGTGGTCGTGAGTGTGGAGGGATTGTTAATATGTCAAATCAATGTGACTTCACTCAATAAAGAGTTCATAAAAGAAATGGAGATGAGATTGGAGAGCTAACCGCTCGCTGCAATGGGAAAACATTATTCTGTAATGAAACTGAAAAAAAAATATATATATATTTTTACGTGTCTGGGTGGAAACACAAAGTTGAGGACGAATTTTGAAAATTTCCGCAGGTGTCAAACACATCAAGAGTAAGTTCAGATTGTGTCATCTGTTTTTTTTTTTTTTTTGGTTTTTTTTTTTTTTTTGGAGCAATTACATTTAATAGCAAGAGGAATGTTTGTGACTTTTTATTGCACAAACATAATCCTCATGGGGTTGTTTACATACAATTTAAACAACCACATTACGTAGCGCATTACATATGCCACAGCCAAATGTTAGCGATTGGGTAGCATCAGATCCATTTGTTTAAGACTACAACAGAGTCCATGCCTCCAACAAGCTATTGTTTATTCCAGGCCCTTTGAATGAAGCAAAGCGAGAAGAAGCGGCTGTTTTTTACCTGGCAAGCACCACCTAGTTTTCAAAGTGTGCTGATGTGTAAAACGTTTTCTTTTTTTTTTTTTTTTTTTTTTTTAATTGGATAATCTATAATTAGACTGTGTAAGATCATCTATATCATACTGGTTATAGGTCAATGGTAATTTTAAAAAGATTTTGCAGAAAAACACAGAAAGTTACAAAATAAATATAAAGGCCAGAACAAATTGTTATTGGCCAAAACTATAATCTGTAGTTTGACAGAAACAGATCCTGTAAAAGTAAGAGATAATCTCCTTTATCTGCTGATAATTACACACTCAATAGTTCAGCAAACCCAAAATAGTCCCAAAAGTACCTGTTATCAGGCAACATAGATAGTGAAATAAAATAGCAGCTGCAATGTGGGACGCGGGCAGCTGTGTGCTGGTGTGTATGCACTGATCGGGCATTTTAAGGGACAATTTTGATGACTGAATAACTGAATGGGAACATCTGCAGAACTGCAGCTATTACCAGATGCCAGCTGTGGGTCAGGATCTCAGAAGTGATCCAAGGAAGAAATGTGGCAAACCAGGGTCAGGGTTAAAGTGCATGGTTGGATCTACCTGATGTGCTTCTGTAAAATTTAAAACTGTAAAAAAAAATAAAAATAATAATATGTGAGACTGGACAGCTGGAGACCAGACAGGTACACACGCTCACCCCTTGTCCATATTTGAAAGCCTCCAAAATTTACCCTGAAATGTCAGAACTGGGTAAATGGAACAATAAAAGAACACTTCATGGTCTGATGAGCCTCTTTTGTAAAAGCCCCTTACTCGGGGAACCTATTTCACCAAGACGCATGATAGAAAGAAGACCGTGTACCATTTCATGGAAGCAGCAGTCCCTCATTGCTGTGGCCACTTTCAGCAGCATAATGTACCTTGCCACAAGGCAAAAATGGTTCAGGAAAAATTTGGGAAGTACAACAATGAGTTTGAGATGTTGTCTTGGCCTTCAAATTCCTCTGACTCAGTGATAACCTGTGATCTGCTAAACCAGAGGTCAGCAACCTTTACAACAGCTGGTGGCTCAGTTTGTGCAAAGTGCTTTGGAGTCCTCTGGACTAGATAAAGCACAGGCCATTTACATATAAACACCAGAGAGGTCCATTTTTTGCCTTCAGTTCTGCTAAACAAATGTACTCTTCAGAACAAAATCACCTCTTATTAATCGGAAATAGGAGATTTTAGATTTATTTTTTTTAATTAAGACCAACAGATGTACTGCACTTTATTTTTGGTTTCCAGATGTATAATTTTTCTTAAGCGAGACATTCAATTTTTATACAGAATAACATCAAAAATGTTATGCTGTCAAGGGGTGGTTTGGTGGTGGTGAAACGAGGACGCAGGCAGACCCAGGATGTAGATGAAAATGATTAATTTAATGATAGAATCCAAGGTACAGAACAACGGGGAACAGGACAAGGAACATACGAAGCACAACAAACACACGACGGGGATCCGACAACAGACGTGAACTTAAATACACACGGGGTAATTAAGGGAACAAGACACACCTGGGAACAATCAACAGGGAAGACAGAGACAGAGACTCACAGGACAGAAACTGAATACAGAAAACCCTAAAAATAAATACACAGAAAGACGGAACATGACATATGCATATAATCTATGATAATTCTTCAGGGAAAAACAAACAAACTGCTAAAGCAAAAGCATTCTTAATTTGCCTTTTCATTTAAATTTCATTTTAATTTGTGTCTGCTGTTACCTGTGATATGACGTGTTGTCAGCCTGTCCTGCTTATTGCTCATGTGTGACTTTGCTGCGTGTTTATTTGCATGTGATGCGGTTAAATGCCCTGCACTCCGTCTCAACCTGTCACCTGTCACTGCAAAATGTGGACCGTCACAAACATAAGCAGATTGTCTTAATTTAAAGGTCATAAAATAATTATAAAATAAAAATATAATTAGAAAAAACTGTTGGACAGCTATTAGCTATAACCTATTAAGCTTAAAGTGAAATGCCTTGTGTAAAAATGACTGTTTCATGAACAAAATTTTGCAGCAACATTCACTCTGTCTAGTAGTTTAATCCTCATGGGACTCCTGAATGATATATCAAAATAAAGAGCTCAAAAATCAGGTACAGTATGCTCATGTCATTCTACTGCCAGCCATTGTTTTTATGGAATTTAAGTGGATTTATCTTAAATAAAGCTGAATAAAAGTGAAGCCAACTCTACAGACTTGAATATGGCTCTTTGTTTGGACTAACACTCCAGCCCCTCATGAAGAAATATCTTTTAAATCGTAGCGATGAGATTATATCTGCTTTGTTCCACCTGAGTTAGTGTTTCCAGCGGCAGAAACTGAAAAGAAAAAAACAAAAAAACAAAACAAAACAAAACTGGTGTCAAGCAAATACCAGAACTGGTTCAGCAGGAAAAACACACCCAGAGCACAGAGGGAGAGGTGTTAATGGGTTTGGTTTAGATTTTAATACACTGTTATAAACAAAGCCTGTTTCACATGCGTGTGCAAATCAGACCAGTAACTCACTCTGTTTTACGACAGGGAAATTTACCGTTTCCTTTATTTGATTTTTTTTTCTTCTTTTTAAACAGATATTGTATCAAACTAAACGAGCATCATGGGACGAGGTGAGAGTGAGGGGTGGGAGGAAGAGCCAAAGACAACTCAGCCCAAGAGTCAAGGGGACAACAAGGAAAACAAGTCGGAGGGTGGAGGCTGTCCAAAGTGCTGCTTGAAGACCAGGGACTGTCTGATGAGCCCAGAATGTGGCAGAGCACTGCAGATCTCCAGTGTTGTCGCCTTCTGCGGAATGTGCATCCGTGCATGGACGTGTAAGTCTGAACCTGAGAAATCCGAACAGCAATGGGCTGTTGCGATGAATTCAACATGACTAACGATAGAACAGGAATTTTGGTTATTTTGTGCTCTGATAATTCTCAAAATGGAAATTAATTTCTTTCTCTGGAGGTTTTAAAACGCGTAACCATGACATTTAATCACTGTGACTGTCTTTCAATTAATCTTTTCATCATTTTTTTTTTCACTCTCTATTTCAACTTTTTGGAAGCTTATTTAATTACTAATTTATCATTGTTTTTTTTGTTTTTTTTATTACAGAATCATCAAGGCCTTCAGGAATTCCATGAACTATGAAGAATCCTTCAATCTCCTGATTGAAATATTTGACCGTATTCTAAAATGAAAAATGTTGAACTTTACTCTTTACTTAGCTTTTCTTAACTGCAGCAAATATTTAATATAAAGAAAAATAAGTTAACAGTATTTTTAAATAGATATGCCAGTTTTTAAAAATGTCATACTTTGCCAAAATATTTGATTTATGTAGAAAGAGGGACGTGTATTTGTATGTATGCAGTAAATAATGTCATAATGTAGACAGCTGAAAACAAGCTTGTTTGTATTTATTGTCATTTAGAGAATTAAACGGCGTAAGTTTGAATGTATACAATAACTAAGTAAGTGTCATTTATTTTTGTGTTAAAGTAATTATTTTGGGTTTACTGTGGTCACATGTAAGAGATAAATAAGGTTTCATCATATTCATATTCAAAAGCTGTTGCTACAATTTGATCAGAAAAAAAAAATCTGACATTCAACAAGGCCTTAAAGTTGAAAACTTTGGTTCAGTTTGCCCATTTTTAGAGCCTTGTTAATTTTATGAAACAAAAACCAAATTTCCTTCCACTGGACCTTAAGTGAATAATAAAAAATGTAAATCATTAGTTGTTAAAGCAGATAAAATGTAAAGATGATTGATAAAAAAAAAAAAAAAAAAGTTCTGGGGCAGATTGCTCAATTTTGTATACAAAAAAAAAGTCAGCTGTGAAAAAATAAAAGGCAGGAAAATGGAAAATTTGAAGTTGGTTTACATGGTTGCATGTGTGGGTCAGGGTTACATCCTGTACAAAAAAGAACTCCAACAATTATGAAGTACAGGGGTGGCATCATGTTGTGTGTGTGTGTGTGTGTGTGTGTGTGTGTGTGTGTGTGTGTGTGTGTGTGTGTGTGTGTGTGTATGTGTGTTTTGCTGCAGGAGGAACTGGTGCAGTTCACAAAACAGATGACATCATCAGAAAAAGAGCACTGCGTGCAAATGTTGACTGCAGACTTTTTATACACAAAATTCTTAAAATTATATGCAGCTCACCAAAAGCATGCTAGTGTTCAGTGTGTGTTATTAGTGTATTTGGTAGATTCATTTGTCCTTACATAGCTGCCTTCCTGTGTCCGACTGTGTCAGCGAAGGCATCACAATACAGGGGTGACATTTAAGGCGGACAGATTAAGGCCTCTCTCCAATTAATTTCGCTTTCCTCTCCGTGCTAAATACACAATCAACCAAAGGCAAAATGTCACTAAAACAAACGAGGAGCCGCCGTGTGGCTGACAATTACCACCAAGCACCTCAGAAATGCCAATATGTTAAACTGGGAGCGGTGTGTGAGATGAATGGGTACAAATGGCGATCCAGAGGCCTGGTGTTGCAGCCTTGCTAAAACGGGAATGCGTGCGGTCCTTGGCATTTTTTATTTGGTAATGACAGCCGACAAGTCGACGCATAGGTCAAACGTTTCAAAGGTGTTGAACGTAACATATCTGATAAATAGGATCACATAATTAGTAATACAAGAAAAATGCACCATTCTGCACGGCATAATAAGCTAGTTTTGATTAAGTGATATTAAATCAATTTTGAAGTCAATGGTATATTTTTATTATATGAATTATTAAGACCGCAACGCAGTTTTTATGCTGCGTCATTTCCATACACAAGCCCAGACAAGTCTAAAATCCCAGCTATAACTACTAATACCCAGGAAAAAGCGAGCTGGAAATGATCAGGTGCTATATGACGAGTGAGAGGAAACAATCTTATAATGGATTGAGGAAACCAGGAATAATACAGAGGTATATGACAGCGATATTATGATCCGCTGGTTTTCCAGATAATTTAAGTTTGATATTCATTTAAGATTTAATCTGGGGATATTTAGTTATGCCGGCGAGACAAGAACTCTCCCTACTCACCACAGGGAGATTTTTAAATAAGAAATGGTTGCAGCTAAAAAGATTAGATTGATTAGTCATCCTAATTATTGTCATTTTTCACAATGTCACTAATTCGGATTCTCACAGTTTCAAAAATGGAACAGATGTCCCAAATCAAAAGAAAACGTTTTTATTCCTTTCAGTGACTGTGGAGGCCATGCATGTCACCTGGCTGGACCGGAAAGACTTTGATTTTGTGTTGCATTTCTTCTTAATAGATTTTACACTCAATATGGCACAACCAAACAGACAGTGGTTTAATTCATCTACTCAGTCTGTTTGAATTTATTTAGCTCTATTCTCTCTATTTATTCACTTGTTTTGCCAGAACATCTGAGCAGAAGACAGCGCTGGACTCATTCCAGATGTCCTGACCAACCAAATGTATTGTTGCTTTCTTCATATAACATTGAAAATATTATAAAGACCTGGACCTGAGCAAGACTTTTTCATAATCAAAATGAGCAAACGACTGCAAAAAAGACAAAACTTGAAACTGAGTTCTTGAAATAAAATAAGTTTGCGATGATACTCTAGCTTGTTGAAACACAGCTATATTTACTGGGAGGGAGGAATGACGTGTGAACATCATATGTATAGACCTGCAAAAGTATTAATTAACTCTTATGATGTAATCACAAAGTCAGTTTATTTTACTGAGTTTGTTTTATTTATGTTTGAGTTGTTCACTTGCTTAAGCAGAGCATCTAGCTCTTTTCTGCTTTTTGATATTTACACATTTATTATTTTTTATTGCATTTGCGACAGCCTTCTCTTACAAAAAGGTTTAACTTTCAAGAGCTTTTCCTGAGTAAATCAGTTGTTGCATAAAAAAAAAAAAAAAGTTTGTTTTATATACAATGATGTTGACTCAGTGTGGACAGCACTGAAATAGGACCAAATCTACTTTAGTTAATGGAAACCCCCATTGAGGCTGACCAGGATTTCAAGCTGCTCCTGTTGGACAGAGACTCACTTGGAACGCAGCAAGCCCATCTGTTGCGCTCAGACTGAGCCGTCTCAAAGGGCTGAAATGTTCCAGTGTTGGGTGATCGGCACCCACCTGCCCTCTTACAGTTTCGAGTAAAGAAAACCCAATCCCTATCCGGGGACTACACTGTTTGTCACTGTGTTCGTCCCATGTTCAAATGATGGGTGGAGTTTTCTGGCCACAGTCAAGGTGTAGGTGGAATCTCTTTTTGGGGACTACGAGAACCGGAAAATCTGAAAAAAA